TTATATGAAATCTAACAACCGCAAAACGATGTAAATGGAACAAAGAAGTTAAAGATTTTGTATTATTTCTGAGTAATTGTTGTGTACAGGAAGTCGGTATCAACGTGAACCAAGTTGAATATTTGTTTTTTGCGTAATGGGAAAATTGTTCGGAAAGACAAAATCCCTCTACAATAACAAATTCTTATATTTATAGTAGAATATGCTTTGACTTTCGATACGAGATAGATAAGATTGCATTTCATGCATTGCAACTTTTTGAAGCGGTTTGGTACAACAATGATTACACATTTTGCACGTGGTCCAATTAGGAAGAGACCCCGTCACCTGCTTTGAAGTTGGGTCACGTCGGATCTCGGTTTGTAAGTCAAAATTTCGAGAGATTGGTTGTCAAAGAGCCTTCTGAGAAGTAAATTTCTGTATCATCCTTATATATGCAAATATTTGTGTATTTGTTTTACTTTTGCTAATAAAATTTTACGTTTGTATATATGCAATTCGTTTAAGTTCTGTTCGATGGTGCAATTTTCTCTTATTTTTCTTTTCCCACATATATGATACATATATACACTTCATCATTTATATACTTCATATTTACTGTTCAAAGCACTTTTTACTTATACAAATGTTATATTCATAGCTTTTTTTACCTGCAAGATTCATAAGTGTACCTCAAGCCATATATGCATATATGTTAAATATATGTACAGCTTTATTTATGTGTTATCTCAGCTTTTGTATGTTTACTTTGTGCTTGTGTATTTTAGTGACAAAAGATAACACTGCCTTCATCTACCTACTGACAATGCCAACTCTATGCATATCTTGTTCATTTTACTATAGTTTCTTTTATGTTCAAAAGAGATGTTGTAATTTATTTATTTTTTCTATCATTTTATGTTTTGTTTTAAGACTTTTTGAGACTTTAAGTAAAAAATGATTTACTTGTCAACTTGTTAATTTGATTGAGTAAGAATTATGGATATGACAAATTTACTATATATATGCATATATTTTTTTAATAAAATAACAATATAAGTTTTTTAGTTTCAAATTTTGCAATATTTTTGTTATAAATTATAGTAATATGACACTCGTGTAATAATGTTATTTGTATTTTCACGCATTTAAAATTAAGTATTCTAATTAAAAAAATATTTGTTTTTATTAAGAATAGAATTAAAAAATAGTAATGGATGAGTGAGTAATGAGTTTCATACGTTTTGTATTAAAATGAATGAACCCGTGTGGATGTGTGTTTAAACTTTAAATAGAGAGATGGTTAGTGAAAACTGAAAAAGTGATGCTTACATGATGTGGATGAGAGAGTGTAAATTATGATTGAATTAATTGGGAAAGGTATGGATACCCTTAACTCAATTATTAAATTCAATTATTCTTTAAATGGAAAATGAAGTAAGAAAGAAAGTTTTGTGTCATCTTTAAATTCAAAACAAATTAGGTAATGAAAGAGAGACTGATGGGAGACAATTATGTATGGTGAAAAAATTATTTTTGACATTTTTCAAGGCAATTTTATTTCTAACCTTTTTATCCAAATTTAAGTACAAAGCATGATATTGTGATATGTAAGATTCCAAAGCGTGCGAGTATGTCACTTAGGCTCAATACGTTTTGATATAATATATATGAATGGTATATGGGACCAAATTAAATAATTTTTATTCACATTAGCTTGTGTGTTATATAAAGTATGAAAAACGTTAAAATTATTTCTCATTCATAGCGTATAATATAAACAATATGCTATAAACAATTTGATATAAATCACTTTAATAATAAAGTGTTTTTTTCTATTATGTAAGCATGAAACTTTATTTATACAAGGGTAAGCTGCATATGACATCACGACCTTATCGACTTTTGTACTTATGTCACGACTTTAGAACTTTGGCACTTCGGTACCCAACTTTTTGTTTTTTTGTAAAATAAAGCATTGACCTGGTCTTCGGCCGACGGATGCCAACATGTTTGCCAATTTAATTGACGTGGCACACATTTCTCTAGCAAAAAAACCAAGCCAGCTTAGATATACACATATATATACTTTTCTATTTTATTAAACCAAGAAAAAAGAGAGCATCAACATTGAAGCAAACCCTTCACAACTTCAACTGACAATTCTTATGGGCAATATTACAAACTCCATAATCTATACTAATCCCCACAAATTTTAAAAAGGAAAAAAGCAAAAGAAAAATCGAGTGAGACAAAAAAAAAAAAGAAGAGGGGAAAATGAAACAAAATAACACTCCCAATTCATATTCTCCCCATTCCATATCCACCATTTTTCTCGTAAATGCTTGCGTTAAGAAGAATTCAATAAAAAGTTCATGTGTAGAGAGATGGATCCAGGTCGAGATTGTAGTGATTTTTAGATTTGAAGGGCGAATTTTATGTCGATAGTCGAGGGTTTTCGGTTGGAGAATTTCTGGGATTTGGGATTTGAAGAAGAATTTAGGGATTTGGATTTTGAATAGATTAATTTAATTTTTGGAATGCAATAGAAACGACGTCATTCGAGGTGAGATGTTTTTCTGTCCTATGAAACGTGTGCCACGTCAATTAATTTGTCGGACATGTTGGCATCCCTAATCATGCGAGTCTGCCACATAAGTTCAACACATAGGGGAATTATATATAGGTGGATTTATCAATTTAAATAAACAAAAATAATTGCCAAGTTGCCCCCTTTAAGTACAAGAAATATTGCATCTTAAAAAAAAAAAAAATAGCAGCCAATTGTTTTAATTAATATGCATTGGTTTACATAAATAAAAGTTGACCAAAATGGTTTGCATAAATAAACAAAGTTAGCTTGCATAAACTAAAGATTTATTATTCTACAATTAAGGTATATTCTCCCAAATCTAATTGAGGGATATTTCTAAATTAATGTAGATATCATTTAATGACTATTGTAATTTTTATCTCTCTTTCTCATATACCATTAATTTTTTTTTTTAATTTTTTTTTTTTTTGGTACAATCTCATATGCCATTATTGATTGGCCTAGGGACTTGAAGTCCTACAGTCGTAGAATTGTGGAATCTAATAATAATTGCTGCTCCCAAAGTACTATGTAATAGAGTATTTAATACTTATATATTATAAACATAATATCACTACAAGAAAATAGAGTTTTAGTGAAAAAATTTTTTGTCAATATATCTACAATTGTTGTCACTATATCTACTGTCAGTATATCTACAATTGTTGCCACTATCTACAATTATTGTCACT